GTGGAAGATAAAAGGGGCATGCCGGCCCTCACCTGGCCATGATTTTTCAAATAAAATTGAGGCCAGATGACTGACATGTATAACTAAGTGTCAGGGGAAAAATTTAAAGTACAATTTCATGCAACATGCGGATAGAAGGGCATCCTGCCTCTGCTGCAGGGCTAGAGGAGGAGGGAGCTGTCGCCAAACTCAGAAAAATCTACCTCATGTCATGTCATGTCATGTCATGTCATGTCATGCCATTGCCATCGAGTAGGAACCATCTCTCAGCTGACCCTCCACCTGGTTTCTGAGGCTGTAGGCTGCACGGGAGGAGACTGGTCATCTTTTTCCCTTGGAGCCTCTGGTGGATTTGAAATGCCACAGAGATGTGGCCTTTGGGTAAGCAGTGCTAGTCCCATGGAGGGAGGAAGAGAGTGAGACAGAGAGAAAGGAAGGAAGGAGGGAGGGAGGGAGGGAAGGGTAGGAAGGAAGGAGACAAAGGGAAAGAGGGAAAGAGGAAGGAAGGAAGGGAGGAAGGATGGAAGGAAGGAAGAAAGGAAGGAAGGAAGGAAGGAAAGAAGGGAAGAGGAAGGAAGGGAAGAAAGAAGGAAGGAAGGAAGGGAGGGAGGGAGGGAGAGAGGGAGGAAGAAAGGAAGGAAGGAAAAGAACATCTATCCAAAAGTAACAGTGAGAAAAGGGAGCTCTAAATTCCGGTGAAGTTTTTGTGTTTAGCAGATCAGAGTTCTCTTTTCACTGAACACATCTGACTCCATCCCTATCCAGACATATTTGTTGTTATCGTTATGTGCTACTGAGTTGGAAGTGACTTCTGGTTTACCCTCTGGTGGGTTTTCAGAGGCTGTACCTCACACAGAAGGAGACTGCCCATTTTTCTCGCACAGAGTCATCGGGAGATTTGAACTGCATGCCTTTGGGTTGACAGCACAACTCCTTATCACTAGGCCAGTAGACAGAGCTAAGTATGAGCAACGCCTTTAGTGAATCCTGACGGTACTTGAAAGGAATGACGATATCCCTCTCCAGTTAACATACAGATGTTAACGTTCTTCTTTGGCTGAATTCTGCACATCAAATCCAATGTGATTTTCAGGACAGATAGCATTTTCAGTAAGAGGAAGCAGGGAAGGGCTCATTAAAACTTGGAAATGATTAAGTATTTTCATTTGCTATTACTGCAGCCAACAAATTAATGAGAAAGGTAATGAGAAATGAGGTGATTACTTCTGTTTTGCAAAATGAAGAAACAAAAGTACCAAGCATGAAGTAGTGTAACAACATTACACTACTGCTGAAAAATGGTCTATTTGAATCAAGGAAAGAGAAGTAGCTGGGAAATTACTGAAAGAGAAAGGAAATCAGGCTGGGGAAAAGGCACAGACTTGAACTGGAAAGAAATGAAGGAAAGGATTACAGAAAAGCTTGGAATGGGTAGCAGGTAGAAGGTGGCCTCTTCAATGGCACTTGAGGTTAAAAATGAAAAAGAAAAAGAAGGTCCAAACTGTGTATCAAAGGAGAAAGTGGTGTGAGCATAACTATCTACCACCCTGGTGAGGATATTTCCTAGTTATATTTCAGCAAAGGATGCTGTTGTTGTTAAGTGCCATCGAGTCATAGGCGACTCATAGCGACCCTATGATCAAAATATCTGGACACTAGTCTAACTTTCATCCTTTCTCCAGGTTCATAGCATTTCCAGAGGCAGGCTATTTCAGAAGTGGATGCTACTCCTGCTGCTAAGCTTCTTTTAATTGAGAAGCCCCACCAAACACTGTCCATTCTCTTTCCAAGAGAGTTTAAACCAGGTCATTTCATCAGCTGATAAACCAGAAACTGGGTTCCTATCCAAAGTCTCAAAACATAGATTACAGTTTTTACTGCTCTGAACTCCCACCTACCTCCTTGGTACAAGAAATCTATAAGCAATGCTTTAGAAGAAAAGGTCACATACTGTTCATGAGAAACATTGAAATCTCAAGAAGTTAGAATCCTCATACTCATTTTTATTCCCGTTTTTACCAGCCTCCAAAACCAGGTGTTTTGAAATGACGACTCAAACCAAAACAGACAATGATTTGGTCCTGTTTGTACAGCAGTTGTTCCAATCCTTAATTTAGTACTGTCACTCATTTTACCATCTTCATGCCTTGTCTCTGTCCTAAAATACGGACACCCACACCAAGGTCTGAGAACAGCTTCATGAACAGACTGATGGTTAGTTGGAAGGTAGATCATGTTAACCACACCCAGAAGAACAGGACTAAATAGGAAATCCCTGAAGAATGTTCTCACACCTGTCTAGAAGTGCACGAAGCCCAAAGAAAAAGCACCAGCTGCCAGGAAACCAGGGGTTTGGGAAAGTGTCACCCACCCAAGACGGCTCAAACTTATGGTGGCCGGGGAACCTCACATCGGGAGTGCTTGACGACACAGCCATGTGGTTTGCACGCCCGAGTGCTATGCGCCTCTTACTGCCAGGAGCTTGGTGAGGAGACCTAGGGGAGCCTGGTCTAGAATGTTGCCTCGATGGCATCTGCAAAGACTTGCCTCGAGGAACGCCGTTGCTTCTGAGAGCCTGGGAACTGTGAACTAGTTCTGAATAAAGAGGGCATGCTAGGAAATTAAGTGACGACGACAAATAGTAACTAGATAACAGTGAAGTCAAAGAGGATAAATTCACATCAGAGCGTGCTGGGCAGAGGCTGAAGGAAGGGAGTGGAAACGGCTCTAAGCGCTCCCCCCGGGTCTGGTACATTTGTGGAGGAGGGAGATGTGGAGGGGAAAGAAGGACTTCCCGGGAGCCCTGCAAGGAAGGATGGTTTCCATTGAGCTCTGGAGGAGTCCTTCTCCTAAGCTCGCGCCTGGGGCTGGGGACACCGAAGGCCAGGTGGTTGTGCACCGAGGAGAGGTCACTGAGTGATGCGGTACTTCTCAAAGGGCTTGAGGTGCTTGCAAACTTGTGTGACTTCACGGCCCTCCTGCCCCAAGGATCGAAGAAGTCTCCAAGGTCCTCCTTGAGTTCAGTAATGGAGTATAAGGGGCTTGTCACCTTGGAAATGTTTGGAGAGGACACACAGGTGATCTTAGACCCCAAGCCTTGTGTTGTACTACCTCCGTGGGAGCGAGATCTCTTTGGAGATCTCATCAGGGTTCTGGAAACTTCCAGAGGCTTCAGCTGTTCTTCAAGATCAAATCGAATTGGACAAGCGGGTCCACTTTTCTTTGGGAAGTGATGCTCAAACAGGAGTCTTGATCTGAAATCACTCATTCCTGCAGGTGCTCCCGACACTAGCTGAGTTGAGGCTAGTTTTTCGACTTTCTGAACGGCAGCCACAGTGAGGAGCTGGGCGTCTGGGTTAGGGAGCAGGTGAGTGGTGGATGAGGGTGGCACATCTCTGTCAGCCAGGAGGCCCATGAGGTGCTGTTTAACAGCTGAGAGGTTTTGCTTAGCTGGAAGGACAGGCTGGTTATTAAGGGATCGGTGCTGGACCTGGGAGTAGGATCACAAAACTGAATTACTGATCTAAGAGAGAGAGGCAGCGTTTACAGGTTAAGTAATGATGGGTCATATTTACAGCCTAGAGGGGGAAGCGGTAAAATACATCTTCCACCACAAGTAAAAAATTTTTCTCTATGGATTGACATTTAAAAAAAAAATTTTAACATAATATTAATTTATTTTCATAGTTTATCATCATTGTAAGTTATTTAAGCAATAAATACATATAGTTTTTAAAAAAACCTCTGCAAATTCTACCTCCCATATACAGCCATCATATTAGGATAACATCATTTCAAGCATTTCCTACTTATGAAAAAAATGAACAAAAAAGTAAAAGCGACAAAAATATATTTTATAAAATTAGGATCTGAAGCCTAGACATGTTGACTGTAGCTCTACTTAAGAATGCGAGAATAAAAAAACTACATCAAGAAGGAAAGTTGCTTAGTTGAGTGTACTTGGGGCGGGGCGGGGCGGGGGGGGGGATTGTATACCCATGAAGGAATTTTTCTTTTACTTTTTGAAGAGAGGAGCAAACTGGGGGGAGGGGTGGGCAGGGAGAAAACTGTAACAATGAATGAATGGAAATCCAAAATCTTTGTAAATGGTCATTAAAATTAATAAAAATAAAAATTTTAAAAAACCCAAAAAACCAAACCTACATAAAAAAGAAAACCTCATCTTGAAAAATGACTAGTAAAGCTGAGGGGAAAAAAAAAAAGAAAGACAATATCCACAGATGAAGGTCTGTTGGGTGATAATGGATGGAGAAGTGGGGCCTGACCTGCTCGAGCTAGGACAGTGTCTCCTGCGTAGGGTCCTTGTTCTCGGCTGAGTCATTCTGTCTGTTTGTTTTACTTATTTGGCGATCATCTTTCTCCCCCTCCTACGCAACCAATTTTTAATTAGATGCTTAAAATAGCAAATCACAGAGCTAAGATCCTGGGAACCTTCTCTTAGTTCGGCAGATGGGCAAATGAAGGACTCTTACTTAGGAAGCACGTGTGAAAGAAATACCAATAACCTACAATTCCAGAAGTGTTTATGATAAGCATCGGTGTGAGTCAGCACTGTGGAAGGACAGGACGGAATCCACGTTGATGGTAACAGTGAATAATGAGACCTAGGTACAGGCAAGAATGACCGACCTGGAGTTCCAGAGCCTAAATCACACATTCCCATAGGAAAACCACTAAAAACCATCATACCACAAATACATCTGACCTCCTAGAAATAAAATTATTATTCTATTTTCTGATGTTGCCTACAAAAAGCTACTGTATCCCAAGAACTACTGATAGAAAGAGATGTCTCATCATATTCTACAGAAATAATTGCTTCTCAGGGAAAATAGTTATGCTTCTTCCAAAGCAAACTGTGTCTTAACAATGCACTGTTTTCCAACTTTGCAGCATGAGTGTACCTGTCCACTTGAACTAGATGAATTAACAGCCCCCAGGGCCTGACCAGTGTGGCCTGGCCACACTTCCTTCCATACCTCCTTGGCCCAGGCTGGCTTCTCGTTCGGACTGATGCCCTCTTTGTAATGGTACAGCGGCTTCTTCTCCACAGGCCTCTGCTCCTGCCGTTGATGCTGAAGGGAAACCAGGTAGTCTCGTTCTTGTTTGAGCTGTCTCTGCAGTCTTTCTGCTTGCCTCTGTTCTTCCAATTGCTTGCGCTTATATTCCTGAGAGGATCAGCGCAGAGGAGGAAAGAAAAGGCCAAATTATTATATTAAAAAAACTACTGGGCTGGATAGCTAAGCATCATGGGTGTAAAAAAAGTGATGATAAATAACAAAGGATCTTAATAACAATAGGATGATGTCAGGATGTGCAAGAGATACATGGTTAGCCTCAGCTTGGCTTCAACACAAGAAAGTGGGCAGTTAATAAGAACATATGACTTTAATGGAATCCCCAACAGAACGGTACCACTTGGGAAACGGACTTGTCCTTAATGAATTGCAACTAAGAAAGTAGCAATAATGAGGACATTTGGTGGTCAGGACACAAACCCTGTAAGGGGCTATCTGCTTACTCAGTTACTAATTGAATCACTGAAACACATACAACTAATTACAAAACTCAATAAATGGGTGAAGATATTGCCTAAGTCATCTTTTGTTTTATAAACTTAAGACCAACAAAAACCATTAACAAGCTTCTATATATGCTTAGAACAAAAAAAAATTTAGAGGAACATTGCATTTTATACAGTGGGGGAAAAAACAACACAAAGAAGTCCATTTAGAGAATAGTGCAATTATAATAAAAAAGTACTTTGAGTAGAGGCTCCATGAGCAGGGAACACAAAATGTTCCCATCATGAGGGTAAAACTAATAGTCTGCAAATGAAATATGACCGTAACACTGAGTGGGTTTTTATGGAAGAAGGCCATTTTGCTGTGATTGTATTCCAGCACATTGTAAATGGCCTTACAGATTCCTCTGCAATAAACACAGTGGGCCTTGGAAGCCGTCTGAACTTTTTAATAAGGCTGGATTCATGCTAAAGTTGCAGAAATAGATGGAGTTAATAAAGAATATATAATGGGCACATTAAACGTATTGGGGTTTAGCAAACTGGGTCAGGACATGTATTCCATTTCTATGGGATTTGGAAGGCTCGTGAAGCTTAAAGGATCTCTGCTTTTGGAAGGAGGACACAGGTGGACAGACAGACAGACAGGCACACAGACAGGATGGACACCGGGCAAGGAGCTGGCACTTGGCTTTCCCATTACCAGAAGTAGAGCTTGTTCATGCAGTAGCTGTTGTTGCAAGATCTCTAACTGCCTCTGCTCCTCCTCTAACTGTCGCCTGATGTACTCCTGGAGAGGTGAGCAGCAGAGAGATCAGAGGAACACAGAGAGAGAAAGAGAACCAGTAATTTCCAAGGGGACGAGAACGTCAAGGAAGGTGCAGAAGGAAGAAGGGGGGAAAATACCCACATACCCTCTCACCAAAGAATGCCACACCAGAGCCAAAGCATGTCAACGCAATCAAAAGCACAAGCCCTCTCCCCACCACGGACCACCAGATCGGTGGCTCCGAGTGTTCTACTTGATTTTCATGAGCCCAGGTACATGTTAAAAGCTTTTCATTAGGGTTCTCCTCTTTGTGGGCTACCTGGAATGAACAATGCTATACCGCTCAGAGGCTGTGCAGGCAGCAGGGATTAAACAATTGTTGAATACCATCGTGTGTCATCTCTGTAACTGCACCCTCCTGCAGACTTCCTCTCTGCTGCCAGAATTGGGCTTCTAACAGGGAACAAGAGATGGGTCTACATCAAGGGCTCAGGGGGTAGAGGCCACAGATTGCACGAGTAGAAAAGCTCTTCCACGGCAATGAAAGAGAAGCACTTGGCTAGCTCTCACGTTTCAGTGCTGCCTTCAAAGCAGACGCACTGGGCTGGGAGAACCAGAAGAGCCCCGTGTGTCAGCCACTTTGGCCTGGGTAGGGAATGAGGTGGAACAAGTGGGCATTACCAAGGCTGTGTGCATTTGACTGCTTGAACAGGTGAGAAGAGTTGCTGCTTGAGGGAGTCAAAGCCTGCTGATCAGAGCAGGTGCAAGAGAAGGGGACCCGCACCCTGGGGAGGCCTGATACAGGAGCCGTTCCGCGCTGTCAGCAGGGCCCTGGACCTACCCACACGCTGGCGAGGCCTGCAGGGTCACAGACCTGCCCGCACCCGCTCTGCGCCATCAGCAGCGCCCTGTCCCGCGCGCCCTACCTGCTTATGCTACGTACCATCAGCAGGGCCCTGGTCCTGCCCACACCAGTTCTGTGCCCGCACCCGCTCTGCGCTGCCATCGGGGCCCTGGACCTGCCCGCACCCTGGTGAGGACTTCAGGGTCGTGGACCTGCCCGCACCCGCTCTGCGCTGCCATCGGGGCCCTGGACCTGCCCGCACCCTGGCGAGGTCTGCAGGGTCATAGACCTGCCCGCACCCGCTCTGCGCTGCCATCGGGGCCCTGGACCTGCCCGCACCCTGGTGAGGTCTGCAGGGTCATAGACCTGCCCGCACCCGCTCAGCGCCGCCAGCAGCGCCCTGTCCCGCGCGCCCCACCTGCTCATGCTCCGCGCGCCTGCGCTCCTCCTCCCGGCGCATCTGCTCCTCGTAGTGCCGCCGCTGCTCCCTCTCCTGCTGCTTCCTCAGCTCCTTCTCACGCCTCTGTTGCTAAAGGGAACAAAAAAAAGACATCGGTGAGGGAAACAGGTGTCGAACTCATCGGGGGCGCTGCACCTAAGGGCCAGGTGCTGAGATGCGCTGCTCCCTCCGTCCACCTCCTGGGCCACGCGTTACAGGGCGAGTGGGTGAAGCAAGCGCTGGCACGGATCACAGACGCAGACTAGGTTTCGCATAGACCTAGAACTTTCTGTAAAGCACGCTCTTTGATGGCCAGTGAGGTTTTCAATGCCAGGACAGGACAACCGGATGACGTTCTTGTCATGCGCCCTGAGTTGGAGCGGACTCATAGTTGACCATCCCCCAGGTTCTCAGAGGCTGTAAATCGCACAGGAAGAGCTTCCTCGTCTTTCTAGCAGAGCAGCGGATGGATTCGAACCCAGCGGCTTTGGGTTGGAAGCACAGCTTCTTAATACCAGGCCACCTGAGCTGGCTAAGGTCTAATAGGCTCCTTATTAAATCATTATACATTACACAAGTGTCCTTGCTCATGACATTATTCAGATTTTAAAGCACAGTCACAGTTAATCGAACGGGAAGAGACTGCCCATTCTTCTCCCACAGAGCAGCTGGTGGATTCAAACCGTGTGCCTCTGAAAATGCAGTGCAGTTTCTTGCCACAAGGCCACCAGTGCTCCCCAAAGAGAAGCTAGTGGTGGGCTTTATACAGTCCAATGACATGATCATACTTGCATTAAAGCCATTCATCCCTTTGCATAATAAGTATGGCCAAAATTTCCATAGACAATGAAATCGAAGAGCAGAGACGGGAAGTACAGGCCAGGCCACAGAGAACAGCAGAGGACACAACAGGGTTTATCGACTTCACCTCCTACCTCACTTGGCTGCCTCTCTGGATTTTCAGGAATATTCCTTTTGCCGTGTTCAACTTTCCCCTTGAATAACACCTTTCTGCTCAGGCCCCATCATCATCACCTCACACTCGGGAGTAACTACCAGGCCCCCAGCAGGATGGTGAGAACCTTCTACATTTTATCATATTCAATGTTCACAACATTCTTCTGAGGTGGATGCTATCCTTACTCCAATTTTGTATGTAAAAACGGATGTAACAGAGAAATTATGCAATTGTTCATGGTCACATGTGCAAGGAGCTTCATTTCAAAGCCAGGTCATGTGATTGCAGAGTCTGGCTTCAATCATGTTGAGAGTTGAAGAGGCCACAGAAATGACAGAATGATCAGATATTTTCCCCAGCCCTTCGTTATACTCTCAGAAAAGTATCTTTGGAGTAGAACTTAGAACGAGGCTCAGTGATTACAGAACTACCCGGCATTTAACGAGGGCCAGCACTCCCTTCCTTGGGGCATTTGGAGCGATGGCTATTTCTCGTGTGAGCTTCCTCTGGTTGTTCCAATGACTAAGAGGCATGACCAACACATAGCATGAGAGATCTGTGATGGTAATCACGGTCCATTTGTAGGACAGTCACGCATTACTACACGCCTTCCCACACAAGATGCCACTGACATCCTTTCTGAAAAGAACTGTAGGAGTTTCCAAGGCAGAGTCTGGTAGAGGCACTGAGGCTTCTTCTTCCTCACACAGGAGGTTCAGCATGGACCCCTCATGAGGTTACTTAGTTCACATTTTCAGTATTTCATGACCTGACTGGGGAAAGTGGAGGTACTGGAATATAATGAATTATGACTGTTTCACACTGAACCGCTAACTCCATGACCAGGGGAAAGAGCTCTCTAGGATAAAAGTTCTCTGTCAGGACCCCACCTGAAACCAACCACAAATATTCAAACACCTAAGAAGGTCATCGGGAGACCTTTCTGATGCAGCTACCACTGTCATCCATCTTCGTGCATACTGTCTTCCAAAAGCCTCTGAGGTTTAGAGACAAGCTACATCTATTGAGATTCAAAGTCTATCATTTCCAGTTAAGTCATTATTTGTCCTTCATAAACTGCAGGCAAAGGGAAGCTGTTGTGTTCTGTAGAGTCGGAACCGACCCCTCGCTGACCCTCCTGAGGGTTTAGCATGGTAGTTAATCGTATGGGAGGAGACTGCTCATCCTTCTCCCACAGAGTAGCCGGTGGATTCAAACTGTGTGCCTTTGGAATTGCAGCACAGCTTCTTGCCACTAGGCCACCAGTGTTCCCCAAAGCGAAGCTAGTGATGGGCTTTACACAGTCCAATGATATGATCATACTTGCAATTTCAAAAGGCCTCCAAAGTCGAGGGAAGGAGCAAGACTAGAAGCTGAAAAGCAGTGAGAGGTCAGTGTACAGACATAGGCCTGGCAGGAGAAAGAACCAGTGAGATAGGCAAAGGCAGTCAGAGCCTGTGTTCACGATCTCAACTGGGGATGGAGATGCAGCGAAAGGCAAGAAAAGACTAGATATTGCGGAGACATCATCTTCCAACAGAGCGAGGCAGAAATTAGAAATGTGCATATAGGCAGCACTTGGTGACTTGAGACTGTGTGCTGGGAGGCCCTTAGAGTGTCTGCTCAGGTGTCTGCTGGACGGTGTGGTGAAGAAGGAAAAGCAGGTATAGGGATGGGGGAGCAGGGGAGGAGGCGTCTAGGGACAAATCAAGTTTCTACACATGTGATTGTTTGTTTTGCAGAAAAATCATAAGGGAAGACATGAGTAGAAAACATCAGCCTAGGAACCAACTGAATAATTTGGACTACAAACTCAAAACAGAGCCATTTCTAACACTCAACCCTATAAATCAGTGCCAGTGCAGAGAATAAAATAATTATGTGTACAGATCTGCTCCTGGCAGGAAAGAGCCCTAATTTAGCTAACATTTCAAGTTCTTTCACTCTATTGGTCTCTTTGAGGAGGGGAGAAAAATCAAGTCTTCTGAAGATGTAGTTGGTTTTTGTGTGAAAGATTTGTACATGTCCAACCCCTTTACCAGGAATTGATACTGTTTTATAATTACAGGGCACTCTGGTGCCTGTGTGAGGTGTGCACAGCATTGATTGTAGCTGGGGAGGGCCTGCGCTTCCCAAGTACTCCAGAGTTTCTGAGAAAGGCACTCAAAAGTGACTCCTAATTAATAATGGGCTCACTTGGATCAGCTGCCACTAAAGCCTGGTAGCATCTGTCAGGCTGGGGTTCCCATGGTGAGCTAAAAAAAAAAATCACTTCCCCAACCTTGCGGGGGCACCCCGCCGACTTCCAGCTGCCGTGCCTCCATGTTAAATGCCTTTCCCAGAAAAATGTTTGTTCTCCCTCCTCCCGGGCACGGGCTGTTTGAGGAGACACAGCAGAACCCGTCATGGAAAGCCTGGCTCCCTCCAAAACGCCTCTGATGACGGCGGCTGTAGAAGTGCTTGCTGAGATGAGAACAAGGCCTGGGCCTGATCCACGCTGTACGCCTGCCCCTCAAGCGGGGCCTGGCTTGGCAGGGGCAGGTAAGGGCTGGCTGAACTGAAGTTAGAATCTTAGAGCAAAAAAAGATAACACAGAATCAATCCTTCAGTGCTTGGGGGGGTAGAGTCCCTCCTACTAGTACTTACAGCTTTTTCTTTCTTCCTTTAATCAAGGGCAAATGACAGTAAAATCACCCCTATAGAACATAATCTATACAAAGAAAACTACAGAACATTTCTGTGAGACACAATAAGAGAACTAAACAAATAGAAAAATATTCCCTCTTCATGGATGGGGTGGGGGGTGGAGAACAAAGAAGTCCTCTTTTAAAACAGAATTATCCTCAGCTCTCTTACCCTTCAAAAAAGAAAAAGAAAAGAAAAAACCCACAAAAAAAATAAAAGTCTTAAAATGTATTTTAATAAGTTAATGCTACAGTTCCACTTATCAGGAAAACGTCAAATCTGATGAGGGATAAATCAAACATGGTACACCAATTAAAACCTGCACAGCATAGCCAGCCTCAGACAGACGAGGTTATGAGCTACTGTCAGACCTTTAACATACAGCAACCCTGTTCTCAAGACTGCACTAGGCCCATAAGGGAAGGTGTGAATAGTAACATCAAACAAACAGTAACATCAAACACAAAAAGGGCCACTTCTGGATTGTTCTTACCTAAGATAACACAAGATTTTTATTTTTAAAAAAGATACACTTAGCGCACTGAACCTTGTGCAAGAGTGGTGCGGTGCCTGATGTATAGGGCTGAGAACCGAAAGGTCAAGGGTACAAATTCACCAGCTGCTCCCTGAAAATAAAAGGCCCCATCTCCTCCTGTCAAGATTTACAACCTCAGAAACCCAATGAAGGGCTGCCCTGAACTGGAACCAACTTGGTGGTGGTGGGCTGGGTTCGGGGTCTGTCAGCCCATGCAGAGGGTTAAACACCTGGCTGGTAAGCTGAAAGGTTGACAATCCAAGTCTAACCTGAGGTGCCTCAGAAGAAAGGCCAGGCAACCTACTTCTGTGAAGTCAGTCACAGGGTACCCCAGGAGCACAGTTCTACCATGATACACTGGGGTCTCCACGATCAAAGATCAACTGGGCAGCAACCAGACCGTGGATTTTAGCTCTCAGAGCACATCCCATCTACTCTGGAATCTTTGCGGGTGGAACTCATGCCCCACTTGGTTCCCACACAGAGCCTGTACTATCGAGAACTGCTGCACTGAGTACAACAGCTTGAGAAGCTAAGAAAGAAAGAGGGTCTTCCAGTGCTTCAGTCCAACCCTTTGTCCTTCTGAAGACAGCCCGGATGGACCCGAGAGGATGTTCCTCTGTGCTGAGCACAAGCATAGCTTTGACAACATGTTAAACCAAGAGTCAGCCAGAGTTCCTGACAATGGCACAGGATCTATTTGCCATCTTCCAGAAAGGCAGAAAAAAAAAATAAGGGAGTAAGAACATAAGACAGAACGAGTGGGGAAGGGCAGAATCAAACAGTATTTGTAAAATTTATTCAAATTATGCATAACAGTAATAGTGGTCCTGCTGTCTCAAAACAAGCTAGCTTTAACGAGCTACTCTCAAACTCCCCGCAGATGCTTCCTCTGTTCTGAGTTGCCTACAC